AGAGGGCCCCAGAAACAGTTGGTGTTTGTCTGACAGAAAATCCCTGAGGGGGGAAAAGGCCAACTGATTCATCGTTCTCCCAGTCCTACCAGCTGAGAGCTGCTTTCGCTCCCACTGAACTCAGTGGGTTTGAGTGGAACATCCACCGTCACACTGGCAGCGAGCAGCGAGGGCAGCCTTGTCTTGCAGGAATTGGTCCTTTATTTTCTGATTGCAACAGGTGTTGGACAACAAACCTTCCTGGCCGTGTTCAAGACTGAGTGCCGCTCCCCCTCCTGCCCCACAGGGCCACTCTGAAATTTGAAAGGAATGAGAGAGCCAAGACAGCAAGCCCTCCAGTCCCCCTGCTCTGCCAGAATTAGCACGCCTGCCTTCTCAGTCACATACGACGGCTTTGCCGAGTCTCACGATTTGATTGTTTTTCTGCAGTGGGACCCAGTAGCCAGGAAGCAGCCAGAGTTTTCCTTTCTGCTTTGAAAGTAACAGCAGTGGTTTGAATGCAGGCAGAAGCACCCTCTCAGTAGGTGGGTGGGGGTGTCGGTCCATGGGTTGCAGCGAACCATTTGGGGGCAAGAGCCTGACTTTATTCTCATAAGTATAGCACATTGTAAGCTGTTTATTGACATGGTTAATGGCAGCCGTCCATTAACAATAATCAGAATAACGTAGGGCAGCGTTCAGCTGCACACACTGAGCCAGTAAGAGCTTGTCTGCACAAGGAAACTATTGTGAAACAGCTGGGGTGTGAATTCACAGTGAAGGAGCTCTCTTCCAGTCTGGTTTTACAGAAGTGACCTCAGCGTCGATACCTGTGCGAGCTGCGGCACTCAAGCCATAGCAACACGGAGCAGAGTGGGGATTAGTGTGCTCAGCTCCTCACCCAGCTTGGTTTTCTCTCTGCTGCTGTGCAGTCGACTCTGTGCCTGCAGCGGAGACATATCCTAGGAGTGGGTTAGCACGGTCCACTTCAGAAGCAGCTTAACTTGTGCCACAGAAAGGCACTGCGTGTCCCCCACGGGAAGCCAGCGTGGGTCAGCGGTTCATTGTTACTCCCTGTGTGCACATGCTCTTTGTGTTCCTGGCCATTCCAGTTCTCTGCATTTTCCCCTCTTCATTAGGATGCAAAGGAGATGGTTTTGCAGAGCACGGATTACAGTGCAGCTTTTGTTCTTGCTTCCGCAGATCGGCCACTGGCAGGGCCATGCTCAGGTGCGTCCTCTCCTAGCTCGGCAGCCAGTAGCTCCCAGGCCAGCTTCAACGGAACAGCTTCGAGAAAGTCCAGGGTGTTGCGGAGGCAGTCCAAACCCGTGGTAGGCTCTGGCACAGTTTGAGGGCTGCAGTCATCATCCTAGCCTAAAAAGAGATCGCAGCAACTAGAGCAGGGCACTGGGAAGCCATGTCTTCAGCTCTGCTCCCAGTCTTGCAGCTGGGTGGCTGTGCGATCTTGAGAAATTTACAGGCATACCTGTCTGTAAATGAGCAGCGAAATCCCAACCAGTCTCTCCTGGTGTGGGGGAGGCCCAAGCAGTGCTTTCAGGGGACACTGACAGCCTCTTATGCAAGGCTTTGTACAAGGATAAGATATGGTGATTGCTATGGAGCTGCAGCCCCAACAAAGGCATAGCGTCCTTGTGGGCCATTGTCATCCACCTCCCGTCCTGAACTGTTTTTGATGTGTGTTTCATTAGGAGATGACTGAAAATGGCAGTCACCAGTTGGTGGTAAAGGCCCGGTTCAATTTTAAGCAGACCAATGAAGATGAGCTCTCGGTTAACAAAGGAGACATCATCTATGTCACCAGAGTTGAAGAAGGGGGCTGGTGGGAAGGCACCTTGAATGGCAAGACAGGCTGGTTCCCCAGTAACTACGTCAGAGAAATCAAGTCCTCTGGTAAGCAGATTGTCTTCAACCGCCTTTACGTTGCTTTGAACCCTGGTGCCTTTGGGAAATTGCTGCTGTTTGTATAAGTACTGTTCACGTGCGCAATGAATGGGGTGAGACGGAGAGAGTTCAGCCCTTTGCATCGCTCGCTACTAGAGGGCTAGCAAAACATCCTTCCCAAGCTCTGCAGGTGTCCGTGGTCCTGGGGGGAGGAACGAGCGGGCTGTGCTCCTTTGCAGTTGCCTTCATGTGTCTTCCCTGTTTCTAAGCACAAAGCCCTTTTGTTGTTTTCCACTGATCCTGCCATTTCTGAGAGCAGCGTGATGAGTGCCCACAGTCTTGGTGGAGAAGCCAGCAATAACTATGTGGCCATAGGGAACAATTCCCATTTTTTATGCGTATGTGCGGCTGACTTCCCAGAGTCTGGTTACCCAGGCTGCATCTTGAGCTTCAAAGCTACAGGAAACATTAACAAGAGCCTTCTGTTTTCTCTTAAATTCTCTTAAAATTTTTCAGAAATGTAGTTTTTACTACGTAGGCAACAAGCACGAACCCAGGCAGGCCTGTTTCAGTACAGCTCATCGTATCCGTTTGTAATGCTTTGGTGGGGGCCATTGAATGATGGTCAGATTTTGTTCAAAAAACAACCTCAGTCTTTTCATTGTGAAGGTTTATCATCGTCATTACAGCAGGGCCTACTGGCTATCACCAAGACAGCATCCCATGATCCTGGGCACTGTATTTATAGTAAATAAATGCAGTTCTAGGCATGATGAGCTTTCAGTCCAAAGGGGCAAAGAGTGGGTGGGGAAAGAGGCACAGAGAGAAGCTGGGACGTGCCCAGGATTAAATAAGATGGCCAACCTGGAAACAAAATCCCATCCCCTCAATAGCACCCCAGTGTCCCATCCACTAGCTCATGCTGCTTTCCAGGGTGCATGTATGTATTTTTTTATTACTGATGAACATACTGATGTGCAGAGCATATCCCTGGAAGATACCCCTGCCAAGCCACAGCCAGGCCCGTTGACAGGACAGATCAGTCCTCCCACTCTTCCCCAGCATGCAAGAGAAAGATGGGGGCTGCTGCAGGACTTTACAGTGCGGTCTTTGTGCCTTCTTGTACAACCAAAGAGCAATTAATTATATTAGTGAAGAAAGTGGGCAGGAGAAAAAAGCCAATTCCCTTCACCTAAAGCTGGCCAAACTCAGGCAAAGATTTCTTGAATTAATAGGAAGGCGCCTTACCAAGGTTCCCAGTGACCTGCAGGGAGCTCAGCAGACCTTCAGTCTCGTAGCTCCTCTATCCTCCCTCCAGCACCCACCTTGAGTACAGGATGGTGCCAGAGACCTCTGCTGAGCAGAGGAGGGAGGATTCTTCCTGCAGGGAGCAGAGTGAAGGAGCAGTCTCTCTTGGTGCCAGGCTGCAGGTAGTTTTGCAGTGCGTACAAACAGGAGCTGCACAGAAATGGCCAGATTTGCTTTGCCCATACGCTGTACCAGGATCCTGTTTGCTTCGTCAGCTTGGAGTGTAAGGATGGGCTAAGCTTGGAAAAGGGCCCTGTGGCCTAGGTCAGTAGGTGCTTGTAAGCCAGCGGTGCAGGGTTAGAATGACACACAACCGCTAAATAACAGAACACGGCAGCCGACCTGAGAATATGAAGCGGTGGACTGGTGTCAGTCCTGTGACTGTTTCAGCTTGGCTGCATCGGCACAGTCAAACTGCTCTGGCTTCTTCCAGTGCTGCAGTCACATGACAGTGTCTGCACTCCCACTCTCCCTCTCTCCTAAGTATACCTTATGGGCCATAATGACTAGCTGTGTGGAGCAAAGCTTCATCGACTGCTTTAAGTGATGCACACAGCCCCTCGGTAGAGGGTGGAGGAGACAGGAAATGCTGCAAAGGCAATAATTAGAAAGCACAACAGGCTGCAGTCTCCAGTGAGCTAAATTTACTAACATCAGCTTCTCCCCTGTTATCTGTCTCAGAGGCTGCAGATGAAAAGCAGGACAAAATACCCCTCTCTACTCTGTGTGGCAGATTTCAAGCTCTTCTTGGGTGCTCCCAGCTCCCATTGATGTAGACAGGAGCTGGGCCTCCAGAGGGACTGCAGTATTGGGCCTCAGTTCAGCACCTTTACTCTTTTCCCAGTACAGCTTTACCAGGGGTACTGTCAAACCTGTTCTTCTGGGCAGAGAGAACAAGCAAGGCCTGAAATGACAGTGCCTCCCTGCAGATGCTGGGCATACCACAGCCTGGAGGTGATTACCAAGGAACTGTAAAATTAAGAGCAGCTTCCTTCTGGAAGGCTTGTTTCCTCCTTTGTGAACACACGGTGATTTGTTATTGCACGTCGGCCTGCTTGCTTAGCTTCTTCTGGGGAGAAGAACAATAGGACAAGGACTTTGTGCATTCACGGCTGTGTGCACCGGGGGAGTGGAAATTATATGCAGAGAGGGAACTATTATGTGTCAGCTTAGCAAAGGGTGAAAGCTGCAGAGGTATTTCATGTTGAACCATGAGTCTTCCCATTTGTGAGCAAGGTAGGAGCAGAGCCCACATTCCCCTGAATTTCAGTGAGAGATGTCACCTTTCAAAGGGCTGACTGCAGTTTATTTTTAAAGTTGGTGTAATGTAAGTTGTTAATCAGCAATGAGCCCCAAGTAAAATCCTGCATCCGGCATTCCTTGCAGCTGGAAACGTGTGGAATCTACTTTTTTTAGACTGACTGAGCCAAATCCAGCTCCAGTCCGCTCTTGCCCCCTGCAGTTTTGGGACAGTTGCCAACTATTTCAGAACAAACTTAAAAATATTCTAGAGTCGCCGTGTTGCAATTCTAAGGAGATTCAAACAGCTGTCAGCTTCATGCATACATTCATTTTGCTTCAGGTTTCATTAGAAAAACTCTACAATAGGGCTGCTGGTTCGGTGATCGTGGCTTTATCCAATGGAATAATGGCAATTCTGCATTACAAGTTATTTATGGTGGGTTTTTTTTCTTGACAGATAAGCCCCTTTCTCCCAAAGCATTAAAAGGACTAGAAAGCGCACAGCTCACAAAGAATTATTATCCCGTGGTAAGTTTTTAAAGTGCTGAGCAAATGTTTTACTAAGCAGAACATTAATCTTCTAGCCCAGCTCTCTCCCAGGTGTAAGTCATTGTCACTCCACTGAAAGTAAGATAACTTATAACAGCGGAGGATTTGGTGCTTTTAGTATTTAAATGTGACTCTTGAGATTGTACTGGATTAAGATGTTTACTTGGCTGTCAAAACAGTAAAACTCAAATGCGAGATGCTACATATGTGAGTGATTTAAAATGGGCAGCAAAGTTAAAATAGCAAAGATGGGGATTTAGTATATCGCGAGGTTAGTATTTTAAAAAAACTTCATGCTTCTGTTCCAGTTCTTCTCTTCCAATAGTAATTATCCACCTTCTGAAAGGTGGGGAGATAATCAAGTTTGCAAGAGAGCAAGGCAAATTTTGCTCTAAAATGGACACATGTACATGTACTCATCTACTGCACAGTAACCAAAATTACTGTGCAATATGGGTGTGCATCTACATGTGCACACCCATACTGTGCAGTAAATATGGAAACTTATGCTGACTTGAATGTGAATTTGATACCTGCAGCATGTAGATATCAAATTTACACCCGATTACTTACTGCTCAGTAGTGCACATGTAGACACCTTCCTGTGCAGTAACACTGTGTGTGGACTTGGGACTAACTTTAGTCCCAAATCAGTCCACGCACAGTGTTAATGCGCTTTAATGCCTGCATGTGTAGATGCTGGCCTATTCCCACTTATTGCACAGTAACTTATTGCTCAGTAAATTTAAGCTGGCATAAATGCACTTGTAGACATACCCAGTAAGTCCAAAAAGAGAGTTAAAATGTCTGTATGTGGACATCATCCTCATCCCTGGGTGCTGGAGGTTAAATGCATTTGTCAGATTCTATTTTATACAAGTGGAAGCTGAAATAGGCCATGTTCAGACAGCAGAAATGGCTAGAATAGAAATAGTCTTGTTTGTCACTGACCCTTGGTCTGCAGCGTGATGCCTCCTGCTTACTGACAAAGGG